CATATATTATGAGCAATGATTATTAATACTTACTGTATTTTTACTGAAAAAAATGTCTCACCAACTCAGATTTTATATTTTTAGTTCCACGCCTGCGTTTACCTCTATCTAACATTCGGCAAACACAATATTACGTAACTTAATATATTATATAATTTTGGTAGCTATTTCTTACTTTTATTAATTTATAATTTACCACTAMRATATATACTATGAGCTAATCATTTCAATGTCTACCAATAAAAGGCACGCACGTCTGTTTGTCTCCATTATTTATCGCGTTATTGTTAATGTATATTTTAGTGCATTATAATATATAGATTATAACCTAACTAGGTTTTCCCTTTTTAATTTATTGAAACATTGTTTGTTTTTCCGGCTCGTATATACGACTTGAAAACCACGTGTAATAGGAGTCCATTCATATTCATAACTATCGGGTTTTTGTTTTATTCAGACCCTATTGAAACACACCGAACCAACGCATCCAGATCACGAGTCACTGATCGAATCGCAAAAGCAAGTGCACGAAATGGCCGTGAAAATCAACTGCACCGAAAAGGACAACATGGAGCTGGAGCAGATCGAGTCTTTGATCGACGGACTAATACATTTGGCGGCCACCGACCGAACATTCCTCAGACACGACTTGGTGACTATCGTTTCCGGGCAGTCGATGAACCGTAAGGAACGAGCGCTTTTTTTGTTCTCCGACTTGCTGATCGTAACCAGTATCAAAAGAAAAAGCGGGACCATACGTAAACCATCCACGTAAGAGRCACACCATTATCTATTAAGTTAAACAAACACCAGACGTGATGGTGCAAACATCTCAAAACGATTTCCTAGTTGTGTTCTATACCTACTACAATTTGAGTCTGTCAGCTATAAAAGTCTTTATGATGATGTTTTTTTTTTTTTTTTAAAAACGAGTTAGAAATCTGTAGTTGATTTTAAATTTTAACGAACTTGTTATAAACYAACAGTCTGTGTAGAATGAAATACACAAAACTGTTAAGCCTGACGTTTACTCAAAAAAACATAAAATAATATAGGAATTATATTAACTTTTTGACTAGATGTTTAATAGTCAAATATTACATTGTCCACGGGTTTATAATTAAAATTAAAATCAGTGCATTAAATACATTAATAATATAATATCTGTACAATATGTTCGGTTAAAAAATCGTGTATACATATTATATTGACTACAAATATGGAATTAAATAATTATTAAATTTCACATTAGTATTATGTTTGTTGTTCAACTAATATCGATGTATTTTGCTAAAACAACTTCTAGATCATTTCACACATTTTAATATCATGTAATACCTAAGTAGATTTATTCGATAGAAAAGTTGATCAAATATTTGAGCAGCGATAGCTATGGTTGAAAAATATTCCGTTGTGAAATAAGGAATTAAAAATTCATATTGCCATTAAAAAAGGAGAAAAAAAGAACCAATACAGTTAAATTATATCTTTTTTTCAATAACGTTGCCTCTTGTAACTACTTTCAATAATTATTTTAAAACGTTGGTACCTTTTGAAAKAATAACGAGTGTTTTCTGATTAAAAAACCATCCAGCATTTATCAATTCATGCTCATTTGTTGTGTTATTACTTATTGTAACTTAGTTGTTGATAATYGATATGTTTATTGAGAAAGAAACTAAAGTAGCTAAGATCTACTTCCGTCGACTAAAAGAATAATTTGCCTAGTTGTATTTTTTTTATACTTGTTTTAAGATTTTGTCAATAATACAATTTTAGAAATTTTAAAAACACCCCCCTCCCCCGAATYAATTATTTTGACATGTTTTATTTGTTGGGCTGTAAACAGCGCAGAGCTTATTTTAAAATCAACTAGTGTTGCGGTATYAACCCCTCTACCTAGCCATTATGAGTTATACTATTGTAGCGAATATTAATTATTTTAAATATCGCTCAATGTGAAAACCGAGTTCTCCCAGCTTGAAATCAACACATGACTGTATTTAATATTGACACCAAAACTACAGATTTTTAACTGAAGCAGCTGCAACCTCAGAACTCATATTTTTGTGCTATTTTTTTTTTGTCTTTATTAGTKAAATTACATCCCGGAACCATTGTTATATAGTMGGTGCAATGAATTATTATTGCGTCCAATTTGTGTACTGTATAMTTAGGKATGGTCGTATAAGCTACGTAACCAAATAATGTTCAGAAGGCTATCGAAAACATTTCTAATAAGATTTAAAATTTTAATATGTTACATGCATTTTAATGTCATACACGYTAATGAGCCAAGAAAAACAGTTTGAGACGTTTATAATAGATGTTGTGAAATGAATTCTGTAAAATATTATTATTGGACATTTTACAGGACTACGCCAAACAGCGTCGTGAGCAATTTAGAAGCAAACAAATATAAGTTACTTATGAAGATACCATTGGATGATGTTGAAATAGTTAAAGGTATAAATTAGCATTACTGCCATTCAATAACTAAAAGAAATAGTTTTTAAATTCAATATATTATTAACATTTACATTTTATGCATTTATAACTCATCATGGATAACTTTTTTACTTCAATTTTTCTACCACGATAACTTAAAACAAATATTTYGTGCTCACATTATACATTTTATATATTATGCTTTTATTTACATATTATTTAAAATTTAAAGTGTACACAAAAAGTCTGCTTAAAGTTCACAAATTTATTATTTGTTTATTTAGGTAACAGAGTAAAATATCGTAAAATTCAAATTTAATATTTTAAAGATWGATAAGGCAGCTGTCAGAACAACACTATTATTTTATAATCATTCTTGATGATGACTTATGGTTACTTTGTATACTTATTAGGAAATTAGAGTATTATAATATGTTTCGTTGTAAATAATATAAATAATTAAAATATTAAATCCTTGATGATATTTCAGTTAAAGATGAAAACGTACGGCGCATGCTTCGCGAGATGGAGTATTTGTCGGAAGATGTTTCCACGCTGACCCAAATGACGGATATGGTTTCTATGTTGCACTGTCCACACAGTCATCTGGAAGACTCGATTAAAGATATGCTTAGTGCACTCAACAAACAGCTATCAGAACGACAAGCCAGCGACACTCAACTATGTTATCTAGAACTAAACTTGCACACCAGGTAAAAAGAATATGGACGGCGTAGAGTATATACGCGTACGCTTATAGAAGCTTCA